GCTGCCAAAGTCGATCAAACCTGCGTATTTGGCTTGACTGGAAGTGGCTCGATGCCAAGATTTAGGCTGCTTCTCTCATCAGAAGGTTCGCGAATTGATCTGCCACGGTCACGGTATGACAACGAAGTACTGCTCGATGGCTGGACAACTGGGGGTAAGTAGTGAAGTTTCCCCAATGTTCATCTCATATGAGAGATCCTGTCAATTTCTTAGTCCGAAACTTGGCCTCTATCAAAACTATGTTACTGGTGTCGCCAGCATCATATACCTGCGCAGCGTATCAGGATCTCATGGACAGCGAAACTGACACTTTATTAATAGACACTCCAACCGCTAGCATCATCAGTCAAAGGCCATGTGAATCTAATAAGGCATCTGCGATTTCTCGTGTGTTTTCTCAGCAGAGTTTCAAGGCCTGTTTTCATACCCATGCCCAATGTCGGTCTCAACGTATTGGTGACTCGTCCGACGATGCGGCCGAAATTTTGAAATTGTCTGAGGCACCCTCTAGGCTGCTACGTATCGGACTGGGAGATGACAAGCTGTTCGTGACCTTGACGGATACGGCTGCGATTTCCAGCACGGAGATCGGCCAGAGACTCTCAGCTGGTGGGTACGTCACGCTGTCGTACTGCTGGGGAGGTGACCAGCCTGTGAAATTGACGGGGACAAGCCAGGATTCACTGAAGCAAGGCATTGCCTCGACAGATCTACCCCAAACATTGTGCGACGCTGTAACTTTCTGTCACGGCATGGGTCTTGAATTCATCTGGATCGATGCTTTATGCATTTTGCAAGACAGTGATGAGGACAAAGGCAACGAAATTTCCAGAATGAGGGACTACTATCAGAAGAGCGTACTCACAATATGCGCCGCTTCCGCTTCGCATTGCGCGCAAGGACTATTTGACATCAAGCGACCATCATACGGAATGGGTCCAATAAGGTTAACATTCCAGCCGGTTGACGGGAAGCCTGGTTGCATCTTCTTATCCACAACACCTGATCCGCAACCCGAGGTACTGACGACTCGAGGATGGACTTTGCAGGAGTCTATGCTATCACGAAGGATGGTCATATTTGCCCAAGACCAACTCTACTGGTCATGCCAAACGAGCTATTCGGCCTGCTCAGGCATCATGATCAACCGGTCTTTCGGCGGACCCGAAAGCCTTGTGGACAACATCTACCCAATCACGACTCTCTATGAGCGACCTCTCCAAAGTCAGTGGGAGGCCATCGTCAGGAATTATTCAAGACGTCATTTTGGTTTCGCCGCAGACAAGCTCCCAGCAGTGTCAGGTTTGGCAAGCGTCGTTCACGACATTGGCCGAAGCCGAGGTTTCGACAAGTACGTTTTCGTCGCAGGCTTGTTCATCGACATGAACCAACCTCATTCCTGGGCGGACGAGTTACAGTGGTGCACTCGTTCTATAGACGCTAGCCGTTACGACGACTACGTCGCTCCGTCATGGTCATGGGCGAGTGTCAATGGTGCCGTTCACGTATATCCGCGAGGTGTCCACAAAGCTCCCCGAGAGTCTAGTCCCCCCTTCTTCACCGTCGAGGACTACGGCGTCACTCTTGCTGATCGACGTATACCCTACGGCGCTGTAACAAGTGGCTTTCTCGCACTCAAAGCAAGACTGCGCAGGTTACCTAGAATAGTATCACTAGATGGCATTGACATCATCTCCGCGTTGGAAGATGCCACACGGGATGATCGTCCCAGGGGAAGCCAGCTGCAAGCAATTACCAACCCGTACTTGGAGATTATCGCAGATACTAGAGAGTCCCAGTCGCTGATAGAGGCGAGTTGCGCAGATACAGGGGTATTTCTCCTGCGAATGGGCCCTGCGAGTGGTTTGTTAGTCACATGCTTAGACTTGGCGAAAGGGTACCGACGGCTTGGATATTTCGAAGTGCAAGAGAACGACAAAGGTGGCAAGTCACTAAGCAAGTCTACAGAGGCCATCACGGACCTGGTTTTTGAGCAGGAGCAATTTCAGAGCATCTTGTTGGTATAGGGTCTAGTGGTCCACTGCCTTACAGTGATCGCATTCTCGGTCCATATCGCCCCATCCATCGGGCTTATCTAGGAGTTATCCGCCTAAGTGGCAACTTCCATCAAAATTACAAGTACGATGGGTTACATTGAAGCCTTTGTGTGAGATAATGATGAAGGCAATACGCCACAAATTGTTCTGTCAACATCATACTGAAAACAGTATCAATCCTTTCTTTACGAGTGCACATTGCTTTACGGTCCTCAATTCCAGCGTGTAAAAAGACCTTTCTTTTGAAGATTACTAGCGCTTTACTAATGGCGGTTTAAAGTCTGACAAAAAGCGGCTGATGAATTGGATGGCCTCTTCTTGAAGGGGTTCCGTACAAGGCTGTAGCTTCTGGCCCAGTAGATCATTCCCGTAAACGCCTTTTAGATAGAGGGCTACGTTCTTAAAACACTGAGGGCTTGTGCGCTGCTGAACAACGTAACTAGTGAGAGATGAGAAGGAGTTTTCAAGTTCGTTGAGGTATACCACTTACGATTGGACACTGGTGGGAGACAGAAGCTCCCGAACATCCCTGGAAAACGTAGCATAGGGATTGAAAGTTTGCGATGTTATGGAAGCCTCCCAATCCCCTTGGGGTGAATCTTTCCAATGTGCTGTGTGTACCCAGTATGGTGTTCCGGATCGAGACAAGCTCTCGTTGTCCTCTTTTCTTTCAGCATTGTTCCAATCTAGGCCTTTGTAAATTTCTCTTGGGAGGTCCTTTAGCTTTATCCAAGCGTCGATAAAAGCTTCCAATTTCGACTCTCCAGGAATAGATAACCGAATACCTATAATCCATGAGTACTCGACTGGCCAACAAAGAGCCGACCGAATCATGTATTCAAGTTGATTGTCTTCCATGCCATGAACCACCCTTAATGTCTGATTTTCTTTTCCGCTCCGGACATAGGTATGATACTCAATTCTGCTGACGCATGTGGTTGGAGCATGACCTAAAAGCCGACTCAGGTCTTTGCGAAAACTCCTTTTGGTGGTAGTGAGCGGACGTGGTTTTAGCGAGAGTGACTCTTTCTCGCATTGCCCTTCAGCCGTGTTGTCGCCATATTTGGGAAATAGATGACCCTCAAACTCTTCTGGAAGGCTGGCGACAATAGGGTTTTCTGTGACTTTGAGCCATTTATAGAGATTGGTAATTATCCTGAATTCGGTTTCCTTCGCTTCCGGAACCGCGTGACTGGTACTGGCCACTGCAGGAGCCCGAGCCCATCCGTTTACAGAAGACAAATTTTTACCAGCCGTATGGTTTCGTGCCAAAATATCAAGCCACTCGTGTAGGAACGTGGTATCTGGGGTCTTTTCTTGGGGCTTCTCGACTTTCGCTGCCATCTTGCAGTCGCTAGTCAAAGCTTTCGCTTCAGGCTGATTATATTGGCTTGATCGACGGTATTGCTCAGAAGGAACTAGGCATGCCTTAGAAATATTCGGAAAACCAAGTATTTGAGCTTCTCGGATTAATAAATTGCTTGGTTTGGCTGGGTGGAATAGGGATCTGGCGATGTGGAGATTATGTACTTGGAGAGAACTGGGAAACCTTTTTCCATTTAGTTTGAGGACTGTTCAGACTGCTCAAGTAGCGAATTGGGTTGAACGGGTGCTAGCTGAGGGCTTTACCGAGTGTCTGCCTTGTGTCTGCCTTGTGTGTGGGTGCTTCGCATGTCCACTAACCCTGGTGGGCAAGCGCAGTAACAGCTGACTGATTTTACACAAAAGTTTAAGATGCTACTATTTCTATGATTTTCATAATATCGGTCGTTACGTGTATGCAGAAATCTCAGTCGCGCGGATTATGTCGTACATATACCTGTTCGGCCGTACTCTTCGATAAATATCTGGCTCTGCCTCTACCTGCTAACATTCAATGAGCATTTACTGAGCCTTAATGACCGATCCTGCTTGCGCCGAGCACCGCGATATGTAGGGCAATCTCTTAGTAACATAACTCCACTTTTCATGTATAATCGTGACTACTGTGGTTGAAGACACGCTTAAAGCAATGGAAGTTCCTTCGAAATTCGTCTGATTCCATCTCAAGCCTTTCGCAATGTCGTGAATCATCTGCTGTCAGTGATTACTTGAACCTGAAGATCAAATTCACTGAACTATGCCTAGAACAAATCAAGTGAATGAATAGAGAGTGGTGAGGATATAAGACCTAAATTGTCAAATAACTTTAGTTGAAGACACGGCATTCATGAAGTGCGCACAAATAAAATCGCCAAGAGTCCGATACAGAGATACTAACCTAAGACACAAATGGATTACAGGGGATATTACGGAAAGGAGCGCCAAGAGCGCATCCAGCGGGAGCAGCGGGAGCAGCGGAGTATCATCGCTCGCGAAGAACAAGAGGTTAGTACCGACTTCCAGCTTATGATCTCAACAGCGTGAGAATCACAAACCCCTTTCCCTCTGTTGTATTCCTGAAAACATCACGCTGACGGTGCATATTTTGTTGAAGAGGCAGGAACGCGAGCGGAAACAGCGAGCACGCACGCGTGAGATGAGGCACTGTGACGCCAGCGGTTCTATGAAATGACAGAGCAGATCTAAAGCCATCGTCGGAGTAGGCACTTCGTAGAATGAGAGCACAGAAAATCAAGTGCACAGTACATCACACTTTAGATTGACTCTTAGTGTTACCACCTTGCGCACCTTGTCTTTGGGCATTTCCGAGCAAGCATAACTGATCATTGGAATTCATTTAGTAATGTCGTAAAACCGTGAAGGACGTCTTCAAATCCAACATAGATTAAAGTAGGAATTCTTCTCAAACAACAACTGATTTCTTAGGCACCTTGGGCCAAATAGGCTCGAAAAGCCGACAAGTCTCCATATGAAGATCTTCGCTCCAAGGTTGGGTACTATGGTTCAGCCAATCGTTTCCAAACATACAGTCTTTTTTCGACAAAATAACATATTTGAACCCTAGATCGCTTGTGCGCTGGTCGACCGTCAGACTGTGATGATCTCCATTAGCGCAACAATCTCCATGACGGGTTCTCGGAATGGTACTTACGTTCGGCATCGGGAAAAGAAGCTGCGTGGGTCTTGGGTCATGGTAGACGGGTCATCGACGCTCTTGATTCTCGTCAGCGCGTACCAACCAGGGTCATTTCCCGGGCCCATCCACTCGCTGTGGTGCTCCCAATACCCCTTCCGACGGAAGAACTTTTCACAATCCTTTACTCTGGCGTCGTCGGTCCATTGAATACCCTTCTCCAGCTGCTTTGGAAGGTCCGTGAGAAAGAACGTAATCTCGCTGTATAGATAGGGGTCGTCTTCGTCGATCTCGCACCGAGCGTACAGCCTCCATTTGTACTTTGAAAGCCAGAGTCCTTCGCTGGTCCAGCCTGCCATGAAACTCGGAATTATCTGTTCGACCTCCCCCACGTCGAGCCCGTCGATTATGCGCAGTGTGCGCTTCGTGGCGAGGTAGTAGTGGTGCTCGACCTTTTGAGCCGTGTAGCTGGGGAGCCATGCTGAGATCATGGCGATCAAGTCGTCGATGTTCATGCCGTCTTGGCCGTCCTCGGGCCGACGAAAGTCATAGTTGGAATCCCTTGGGTACGAAGGGAAGAACTCTCTTGGAATTCTTGAGACGGTGGTATGGTTGTGTCGGGCCCATTCCATCAAGCCGTCGCACGCCCTTTTGTGATCCTGCCTAACCCATGCGTCTACGTCCAGCATAGGGGTGGGTTCCTTCTTGGCGAGCTTTGACAATGCGTCCGACGCTGTGAAGCAAATTTCGACAACTTTGCACCAGAACTGAACATAGGCAGTAGGAAATGGAATGATGTGGGTACAATCCGTCGAGGACAGCTCTCTGTCAATCCGAACTGCATCTTGAGTTGCAGCTCGCCGGGGCGCGTGGCGTGTCATCGCGGCTGACGTTTGAGGACGGTCTCGACTAGCATTATGAACAGTCAACTTTTTGAAGGGATGTATGCGAGCCCTTTTTATTTTTCTCTTCGTACGTGTATGTAAGTCTTGCACCTTGGAAGGCTTGATTTAAACTGGAAATATTGGAAACGCCCGCAACCCGGATGACTATGGCGCTAGATACATCATGTAGCGTTCATGCGGGAAGACGTTTTAAGCTCACGACAACAACATCAAGCCATTGCTAGATTTTAGCACTTGTTGATGCTGTCGCTATATTATGGGGTATTTGACATCGACGTCAGGGCCGTCACGAGCCGGTTCGATCAAACAGTTGGAGCCTAGATCTCCCTTCTTGCTGAGCAAGTTGGACACTATGGGGAAAAGGCAGTAAATTCTCCCCATCATCTTAAGCAGTCAAATTCATCACAGGTTATTTACAGTCAAGGACTATTTTACTAAAATTTTTTTTGAAAAAGCATCAAGATTTATAGAGGCACTGCAATGTCCAAGATCAATAGTCTCCGGCGACGGGCCGTGTAATACCTAGCACCGTGCCAATGATAGTCAAAGACCGTGTAGGGCACACGGTGACCCCCGAACCGGCCTCCGCCCGCACCTGCCCGGGCTGTGGCGCCGTTTGATTCGTCGCTGACCGGGGAGCGTGGCCCCGACGAGTCCGATGCGGAGTGATGTCAGTCGCACGTCCCTTCCCGTCCTCATCCACACTTGCTGATCTGACAAGCCAGACCACAGCTCATCACTTCAACGTCATACCTCTCACATCTCATCCACAAAAGGAACATCACGAAACATCCGGCACCATGGGTTTGAAGGTAAGTACTGCTGGCAATGCTACATATCGCGGTGCTCACAATGGCAATTAGACACTTTCGGCAAAGGCGGCAGCAGCGCTGGACAAGGAGCTGATGAGCACTGGCGCCTTCTCCATCGACCAACTGATGGAGCTCGCCGGTCTCTCCGTCTCACAAGCAGGTCAATCAACAGCCGCCCCTTGCCCGTCGTTAGGGACCAATTGCTGACGCCAAGCCCAGTCTACCGCGTTCACCCGCTCAGCAAAGGTCCGAATATTCTTGTTGCCTGCGGGCCTGGCAACAACGGTGAGTGTCACTTGCACCTCGCGCCTCCGCGATATAAGCTTATTTCGCACCATAGGTGGTGATGGTCTAGTCGCCGCCCGTCACCTTCGTCACTACGGCTACAAACCCAGCATTTACTACCCCAAACGAAGTAAGAATGAACTGTATCAAGTGAGTGAGGATATATCTACCTTTTGTCTATCTCGTCATTATGAGTCGTGGATGCATAATACATTGGGGGGCAAGTGCTCCTTCTGGGAACACTGCCAACACTCTATCAGCGACAGCCCTCGTCATCGAGTCTTTTCCACATCGCACATGATTTAAAATGCTTTTGTTTTTGCGAGAATCTCTTCCACCTACGCTTCGCTATGCAAAGTCGCACAAACCTCTCGTTGTGCTCGCTCCTCCCCCCGAGAAAGAAAACGGCGGCATAGTTTGCGTGTATATCATGCTGCCCGTACAATCGAATTCCCCAGAAACGTTCTGTCGAGGGGCTTGCCGTGCATCGAATTGGGGCTAATCGTTTTCTCAGCGACTGGCGCAGCAGCTGGAGGACTTGAACGTCCCATTTGTGGACGACTTTCCCACGGCCCTTAAGTCGACGGACCATATCGTGGATGCCATCTTCGGTTCGTTCAAGAAGTGCTCTTTCTACTGTTGGCTGTCGTTCCGCGCGCCTAACGTCGTGATCTCAGGATTCAGCTTCTCTGGCGAGGTCCGGGAGCCCTTCCCGGCGGTGATCAAGGCGCTCGAGGAGACGAAACTGCCCGTAACTTCAGTTGACGCCCCATCATCATGGAATATCGAGGATGGCCCGCCATCGTCTGGCCTCGGCAGCTCTTTTCACCCTGAGGTACTCGTCAGCCTGACAGCACCTAAGCCTTTGGTGAAGCATTTCAAAGGACGACACTTTGTCGGAGGAAGGCATGTCCCACGCTTGAGAACCCCGAAAACTAAGAAACTTTTCGCAGGCTAACCTTGGGAGCAGATTCGTTTCGCCAGGTATTGCTGAAAAATACAACCTGGACCTTCCACAGTATGAAGGCATCGACCAGGTGGTAGAAGTGGACAATAACGGTCAGAAGCTGTAAATGAGGTTAGTTTTACCAAAATTTGGGACATTTCTCCCGGTGATTTTGACAAAGACTCAAGGTTGCTTACTTTTAGTTTCTTGTCGTCCAGGGGTAGTTGTCTAAATGACCAGACAGCCTCCCACTCGGCTATTTGGACAGACAGGACTTGGACATCGACCGTCGAGCATCTGCATTGGGCGAACTACAAGACCCTTGGGACACTCCAGAAGGGGAGGATGGTACTCGTGGCAGAAGGCGACATAGACGAGGTATAGTCTCCGACAGACTGGACAAACAGACTTGTGCTCAACGCACATGAAAGCCGAATGAACAAGATTTCGCGCTTCTAGGAAAGCGTCGTTTTTCGGTGATGGTAGTACGTGGTGAAGGTGATGAAAACGCGGGTAGTCGTTCTGTGTGCTCGGAAGAGGGCAACATGGAAGTGTTACTATTTCTCGTCGAGGCAATGGACAACAAAGCGGATGACAATAGGCGGAGGGACCACCGGGCTTGGTGGTGCTGCTGCTGCTGTTGCTGCTGGCGACTGGTATGCCAGACTGGCGGCCCAAGTGTGGCTGATATAAAGAGCAGATGTGGCTGCTGCCCCCCGGCGAATGTGCCGGTCATCCAATGGGACTGCAGAATTTGTGAAAGAATCGCCACACGGTCGGTTCCACAGGGACCCTTGCCGGGGCCGGAGCGTTTTTAATGACAGACGTTGTGACGAGGGTGCCGGAGGATCTTTTTTTGGTTGGTAGATGCGGACTGGGGGGGGGTGACCGTTGACGTTGGACGAGGGGGGGGTTCAAGGGTGTGTGTGGTGAGGCGTACGTGTGAGCGACGGGCTTCCGGGAGGGCTAGGGGGTAGCGGCGGGGTGGTTAAAAACCAAGGGAAAAAGAGAGAGGTGATAGGGGCGAAAGGTGAGGGAAGGGAAAGGAAGGGGGAAAGGATGGGAGAAAGGTTAAAGGGACCCGAGGCGACTCGAAACGACGTGAAGTGACGGGAAGGGTCTAAGGAAGGGGCTTTCCGAGGGGGCAGGGCAGAGAGGAAGAGTTGAGGGTGAGTGAGTGAGAGCGAAGTGAGGTGGATAACAAGCCAACGCAACGACGCGGAACAGAGCGACAGAGAGCGAGGCAGAGTCTAAAGAGACTGATGAATAAGAATTTTGATTTGTCTAGTTGGGTATATATTTTGGTGCGTCCCATATCCCATTCTTTTTTACGACAATCCCAGTCCGCGACTCCCCTCCCTTCAAGCCGGACGGACAGGCCAGGTAAGAAGGTAGAGGGTACAGGAGGGACAGCACGAGGTACTCAAGGTACAGAGTACATGGAGTAACAGTGAGTTTAGTCAGGCAAAAGGCAAGGACAGACAGGGTACAACAGTGTTAGGTGTGTCGAACAGCAGTGAGTAGGTACGGTCCCAAGGTAAGGTAGAGAAGGGCAGAATTCCCCCATCCCCCATCGGCAATCCCCAGGCCCAGGGACTGAGGGATTCCAGGCTGGGCTTGGGAGGGAATCAGGGACTCAGGGACTCAGGGAAGGCCTGGACTGGCCACCACCACCACCACCACCCACCAGGAGAGGTAAGGTTCCTACGGGTACACAGAGCAAAGCCACAATCAGTGGCCTCCAATTGCCCAATGCTCTCCAACAGGAGGGGAACTGAACTGGTGAGGGCACCGAGTGGAGGGACTGTACTGCGTAGGGACTGGAGGGCGGGCTCAGGGAAGTTATTTGATGGGGCAACTCTCCAACTCCAACCCGACAGCTTGAAGAAGACGAAGGCCGGGAAGTCCCCATTTGGAGTCTTTGGGGCCCTACCGGAGCAAATGCTCCTTGTTCCCCTGTGATAGGCCCGAGCGGCAAGGCAGCGCTTACGGGGGCCGCATGGAGCACTGCGTGGCACTACCGAACGGAACCCGCTTTTATTTCTCTGTCGAACTCGAACGGAATCCACCGTCAAGCAGAGGACAAGCCACCCGTTTTTCGCAGTGCAGTTGGGGTGAGGTGCTGCTGCCAGTCCGTGGCCAGTGTCGAGATGAGATGCGCCGGTTCAACGCTACTGCCTATTGTATTTGCCCGGAACAATGGTCTTGCCATGAGGGCACCTTCCATTGCGCTTGCCATCTGCTAAGCATGTACCGTGTCGGGATCGTTGCATTGTTCTTTCCCAATTGGAGAAAGGAACCAGCCCGTCTCGGTCTTGCCCACGAAGCAATTGTGATGGCAACAGAGGGAAGGTACGGTTGGGCTACCCGTCGCCTGCCCGAGGAAAGAAGCCAGCCGTGCCGTACTTGTAGAATGGAAGGAAGGGTCCAACAGGGATTCAATGCGAAAGTAGCAGGTACATGTGCCATATTCGTCCGTCGCGCCTTCCTCTTCCTCTCAACTGCGGAGTACGTATCCCGCAACTGCCCACCCCGAGATTCCCATCTGATCAGCTTCCGCGTGCCGTGCCTGACTGTTCCCGGCCTTCCTCACCCTGCTTGCCCGCCACGCCTCGTCCGGTCAACCTTCCCTCCACCTTGAGGTCCTGTCTTCGTTCTCATCATACTTCATCGCACGTCTCCGACAGCTTTCCCCGTCAACCAACAACGCCAGCGGGGTCGAAACTTGTCGCTTCGCTCTGTCCGCTTGCTATTTTGCTCATGCTCTCTCCGCAAGGCCCATCCACAGACGAGTCGTGCTACTCTGCTCGGTTTCCGACCCCCGGGGCACTCCGTTTTGAGGTTCCAATCCCCGTGTCGGAGAAAAAAAGGGCTTACCTTCGTCAGTTCAGGACGATTATCTCCGGGTCGCCAGGGCAGGGAGACAGGGCATCAGGGCAAAAAAGTGGCGGAGAACACACGACGACGAGCTCGATATCGCAATTCAACCCGAAAATCCCATCCGGCCCGCGCGGCCTTCGATGTACCAGCCTATCCTACCGCCTTGTCGCATTTCGCCTGTCAATCCGTCAGCTCCCTCCCCCTGCCCTGTCGCTTCCTCATGAGCCAACCCAGTCTGTAGGTGCAAACACCACGTCATAGACAACCACAAGCTACACCACAGCTTCAGCTCCGAGGGATGGCAACAACGAGCCCCTCCTGGCACGGTTGGAGTCAGGACCTGAAGCTCAAATTTTCCGACAAGAACAAAATCACAAAGTTCTCGAACCGTCACCGCCTCAATTGGATCATGATGGCCTCTACTCGGCATGTGACGACGTCAAGAGGAGCGAGTCCAGCTTCATCGGGCGTTCCCGACACAGCCAACAATGAAGGCACCATGCCATTGACGCAAATGGCGTGGGGCTGCACAAGGCAGTCGTGCTGGGAGTCCCTCGCCTGAGGAACATGAATATTCACATCAACGTCAAACGAGGAGAGAGAGCTACAGGCCACAAAGTGCACGAAACTTCTGGTGGCTTCGAGAAAGCGAAATGGGCGCGTCTGGACCATGTGGCGGCCCTGGACGGGAATGCCCTCTTGGCCTCCCGCCAGGAGGAAGCTAAAGCAGACTTGGTGGCGAATCACCTTCCATTGGCCCCCACCAACTTGAGGCTCATTTCCTGGCTACTGCCCGCGCATGTGGCAGCTGGCGCACGACGGTCGCTGAGGCCATGCGCACTGCAGCCATTGGACGAGCCCGGCAGCCACAGTTGCCGTGATTGTGGCCCGTCAAACTCTGCGATCTCCCTCACAAGACCCTCAGTCAGGGATCGCGCCGCTTCCTGGAGAAACCTCCCCACGCTGTTCCGTCCCAACCACGATTCATTGGTGCTTCATCAACACCTAGCTCCCGAATCGCTGTGTCATTGGTTACGCGCATCCGTGGAGAACACTTCTGTGCAATGCCTCGTCCACACTGTGCTTGGCGGTCAGCAGCTCGGCATCAGATTGCAGCCAGTCGCATGTTGGCCTAGATTGTGAAATTCGTCGGAAGAACGCCTCGGCATGGCGGCGGTCACCAATGCCATGTTACGGTGTGCATTTCTTTGCTGCAAGCTTCGTAATCCCGCTCTGCAATTTGAAGCATTCCGTCCGCTTCAGATACCACTAGGTGGTTGTAGGTCACCACGAGGGTCAACGTGGCGGATAACGGTCCCTTCCGACCAGATTCGGCGGATTTTGGCCTTTCACGCAGGGATCTGACAAGGGCCCAACATAATGATGGGAGATAGCTGATGAGGCCCCGAGTGGGTATTCCAATCAAGCTGGTGAACGTGACCGGAGGGCCTCCGGTGGTCCCAGAAGGGCGGATAACGATTTGGGTTCAAGATACGGAGTATCGACGTTCAAACGAGATGGAACCGCTGCAGCGGAGCGGGCAGGCAGTATGAGCAGGGTATCGCAGTTCAGCATCTTCTTGCGTGCTACAACCGCTTATTAACGAAAATGGTCCAAATACCCCGGCATCCTCCCCGCCAGCTCGACCCTCGCACCCGGTCCATCATCATCTTCCCTGGAGAAACACCTCCGCCGTCAGCTCCTCGTCTCGACTCACGTCATCATGGATGGCAGTGGGCACACGAATCTGACCGTCACGGCTCGCATACCCGCTGTCGACACCCAACGAGATTGAGTTTTATCGTCCCAGCCGTCCCGGCCGTGTTTTGACTACAACGACACACCCCGGCCGAATACGCCCATGGGCCTCACGCCCGAGTCGTGCTGAAGTTTTCGAGATACCGCCATCAGTTTCTGCATGTAATTCTGTCTGTGTGTGTTGTTCTGATAACCGACAGTTGGCTCTGGCCCCACACCGAACCCCGCCTACACAACAAAAGGGGGCTTTGGTCTCCTGCAACGCAAGAAGTTTTTGTTGCATCCTCATCCTTTCTCATGTTGGGCCGCGACCATGTGCCTTGGCTTTTGACCAGCGGCGTTCTAGGAATACTGGATGCCGGGCAATTCTTTCCGGTGCCGCTCTACGACACAACGCCGCTTTGTCCGTACCGGCGACACCTCAACACGGGCTCCCGGATCCCAGTCATCCTACCGACAGCAGCAGATATCAATGGTCCGTGTCTCGGAGCTGGCTCCGTCCCGACGGCCTCGCATGAAAATCAGTGCCCTTCTTGGAGACACCGTCTGCCATCCCACGGAAGCCTCAGCGACGGTGACCACTGAATAAGCCAATCTTTTTGCGACTCGTCTAGATGATTCTAGAGGTGAGAGTTTCGGGCAAACCGTGCTGATCCTTGCCGCTTGGGGTAACGCACGGCGATGGTATCGCAATAAAATTTTGATGGTCGCATGCCACCCTTTGCCCCTGCGGCAGCTGCATAGCCCCCTCCGACGCTTCCAAGGTTTGAGGGCATTCGCACATTCAT